TGCTGCCCCGCAGTTGGTGGGGATGGGGCCCAGCACTCATCAGTCACTGCAGACTGAATGCAGACACTTGTTTTTAGCTGGAGGGGCAAGCAGCTAGTCACAGCATACTTCAGGAACTCATCCTGGCTGGCAGGGACTGGTAGGTCATGAGGGTAGGACCAGCTGCCAAAAACATTGGCAGCCACTGTCACATTACAGGCAGTAGAGAAATGGGGAATATTTGAGCTGCTGCAGATAATTTAGTGGTCCCTGCAGCTACCACTTAACCCAATCCCTTTGTTGTACAGATGAGGAAACTGAGGCTGGATATGACTTGACCAAGGCCATTTAGCACTGGACGATAATAGCCAACACTTACCAGGCCCTAGTCCAAATTTTAAAACTCATCTAATCAGTACAATAACCTACCAGGCCCCATTTCATAGATAAGGAAACTGAGGCCAGGAAAGATTATGTAACAATCTCAGTGACACCAGCTTGTTGATGACAAGGTCTGGCTCCAAGCCCACTACACTATGTCCACTCAAGGACCAGCCCCGATCTCCCTTTTTCCACTCCCCACACTGCCCTCCTGGTCTGCAAGGAAGGAGCTCCCAGTTCCCTTCTCAGCCCCTTGAGCTGACCCACAGGACACCTACCTGGGTCTTCGAGGTGTTCTGCGTAGACACAAAGAGCTCCATCTCCCCTGCCTCGCCTTTTGGGACAGCGATGGTGCAGTGAGTCTCCAGATAGAAGTGCTCTTGGCCACCGATGTGCAACTCTCCTGGGGAAGCAGTGAGATCCCCACAGTGAGTCCATGCTACAGAGGGTGGGCTTGCTTACACAGAGAGTGCACTCTGCCCAGTAGCCTGGGCAGGAACCAACTGTTCTAGATTCCATGCCTGGGGTGGAAAACGGTCCCAAAGTCTTAGCTGAGTGTCTCCCACCCCCACTTTCCACAACAAAAAAACAGAACAACTCAGAAATGCAGCAGGTGCAAAGCTCCCTTCTCACTGCAGCCAGTGGAAATCAGGGATTTCTAAAACTCTCACTGTAGAATTTCGGAAAAATTAAAGGAGGTGTTAATCGATGTGATTGAAAAGCTGATATAAGAGCATCTTCCAGAACTGAAGCTGTCGAGTTGGCTTCCTAGCAACATAGCAATGCACAACAGCCGATAGAGAAAGCAATTCTAAAAGGAGCTATCAGCAGCCTTGTCCTGGATTGAGAGCTCTGGACCTAATTTCACAGTGTCAGAGACAGAGGCAGGGGAGAGGAGGGGAGTGGGGAGAGGAGGGGAGCGGGAAGAGAAGGGGAGAGCGCTAACTGAGGACAGGTAAAGACGCCTTCAGGCAGAAGATGGGGAGGGTGAGGGGCCTGTGTGGTTAGAGCCCTTACAGATCCAAGGATGGCCAGGTGTCTGTGGCCATTACCTTCCCTATACAATCTTCCAAATACAGTCTCTCTGGAATCACATAGATCTAGCCTAGAGACAGGACAGTGGAGATTAAGATGACTGAAGCACTTTCCCAGCCAACTAGTTATTATTTTGCTACAAACGTCAGAGGAAATCTTCTGTTAGGAAATGTTTGGAAATCACTTTTCTGCTCCAGGACTCAACATGCATCTCTTGAATTTGATTCCCAAACTGGGGCCACCCCATCCCACTTCTGCATGGTGCAGCTGTACCTGAAACAACATTATCTGCTTCAGAAAACCCCTTATTGAGATCTCCTTTCTCAATCTTCAGCTCAGATCCATAAAAGGAGTTGTTCTTTATAGCATCCTGTGGATCAAAAAGAAGCTTCAGCAACTTGGCTTGCAGGGGGAGGAAGACGCTTCTGATGGGGAAAGAGCAGCTCCCTGGGTTGATGCCTCCCTCTTCTCTTGTGCAACTGCCCAGAAGCTTCACATATAGACTCAAAGGAAGCTCTCCTGTGGCCCAAAAAATCACATTCCTCCATTTCCTCAGCTCTAGATGAACAACCATGGGTCTTGAGGAAAAGCAAAGAATCCCACAAGGAACCAGTTGGAGTTGACATTTTGGAAAGGAGGAACTCAATTTGGCTGTTAGTGGCCTGAGCCTAAGATCATGAAGGAGAGAGTTTCACAGGACCAAAATTCCAGGGCCAGGAGGGATTTAACAGTCCATCAGCCAAATCCCTACTTGCTATTTGAATCCCCTCTAGAGGATCCTAAAAAATGTGCATCAGAAACAGGGAACTCAGTCCCCTACAGAGGCAGCCCATTCTCATTTACCTCGATTGTGATAATGGCTGGAAGATCCTCATAGGTGATTGTCACCCCCTGAGCAGCTCTCTGTGCATGTTCTGGGGTGTCGGCAACCACAGCACCAATGATGTGCCCAACACATGTAACCTAGGAGCAGAGACAGACTGTTACAGAACACAAGTAAGCTCCTCATGAAGCCAATTATAGAACACCAGCAAAGCTCCTCAGAATCAAAGCACGTTTCAGGAATGACCTGGGTCCTTTTCTTTTCCTTATCCTACTAATTGAAGTTATGTGCCTTTTCACAAGTGCTTAGACTCAGGAGTCCTGGAATGGGATTTAGAGATCATTAGGATCAGGATGGCAAACAGATTCACCTCGAGAGCCAATTCTGATTATTTAGTACTGGCAGCCTGTTGAGGAGCTGCACAGATAGAATGTGGCAATAGACTAGTAATGACTGTCATGAGCAGAATGGAAGAGATGGCACCAGGAAGTCAACTTGTCAATTTGGACCTACTCCAGCATCCGTGGTCTTCACAAGACGAGACAAAGACCCAGAAGGCAAGGTCATGATTGCCTAGTTACCAGATCATGGCTGAATCTGAGGCCCTGACTCCTACTTTTCTTTTCTTTCTACCACACCACTCTCTTTTATGTCCTATTTCCGAGATTTATACCAAAAGCTTCTCAAAGGCTGTAAGCATGTCATATACTTCATCTAGAGGCCCAAAAGCAGTAACTCCCAAATGCTGGTTCTTAGACCTGATGACCCATGAACGAGACTTTTATTTTCAACTTATGGAATAACGATGGTTGCTTTCTTTTCTTCTCTTTTAACAATTCATTTCCATAATAGCCTAATGGTTCTCTTTCAGAATTAATTTTTATCGGGCCGGCCCGGTGGCGCACTGGATAGTGCGCCGCTTGGGAAGCGCGGCGGTGCTCCCGCCCGAGGGCGG